CCCGTGACCGCAGCTTACTTTGGGGCAATATGCCATTAGGTCTCTGCTGCTTCACGTGCAGATGAAGACGCCCTGGCCCAAGTCCCCTCAGACAGGTCCACAAGGTCTGCAGGAACAAAAGGGCCTCATAGAGACTTTCAGAAACACATCCCCTTTCCTGATGAGCTCTGCTGTTTAATCCATGATTACAACCCAAGATGAGAGCATAAATGGTCATGTGGCTATATTTATATTCAGCAAGGCTTTTGACACAGTCTCCCATAGCATCCTCATAGGTAAGCTTAGGAAGTGTGGGATAGAGGAATGGACAGTGAGGTGGATTGAAAACTGGCTGAAAGACAGAGCTCAGAGGGTCATACAAAGTCTAGTTGGAGGCCTGTAACAAGTGGTGTTTCCAGGGGACAGCACTGGGTCCAGTCCTCTTCAACACTTTCATCAATGACCTGGATGAAGGGATGGAACATACCCTCAGCAAGTTTGCTGACACAAAACTGGGAGGGGTGGCTGACACACCAGAAGGTTGTGCCACCACCCAGCGAGACCTGGACAGGCTGGAAAGTTGGGCAGAGAGGAACCTGATGAACTTCAACAAGGGCAAGTGTTGGGTGCTGCACCTGGGGAGGAATAACCCCCTGCACCAGGACAGGGTGGGGGTGACCTGCTGGAGAGCAGCTCTGAGGAGAAAGACCTGGGAGTCCTGGGGGACAACAGGATGGCCATGAGCCAGCAATGGGCCCTTGTGGCCAAGAAGGCCAAGGGCATCCTGGGGGGCATCAGGAAGAGTGTGACCAGCAGGTGGAGGGAGGTCATCCTGCCCCTCTGCTCTGCTCTGCCCTGGGGAGGCCCCATCTGGAGCACTGGGACCAGTTCTGGGCTCCCCAGTTCCAGAAGGACAGGGAACTGCTGGAGAGGGGACAGCAGAGGGCTACAAAGATGATGAGGGGCCTGGAGCATCTCCCTTACGAGGAGAGGCTGAGGGATTTGGGTCTTTTTATTCTGGAGAAGAGAAGGCTGAGGGGGGATCTGATCAATGCTTATAAATACTTAAAGGGAGGGTGTCAAGAGGACGGGGCTGGTCTTTTTTCAGTGGTGCCCAGTGACAGGACAAGAGGGAACGGGCACAAACTTGAACGTAAGAAGTTCCACCTAAACATGAGGAGGAACTTCTTTCGTGTGAGGGTGGCAGAGCCCTGGCAGAGGCTGCCCAGGGAGGTGGTGGAGTCTCCTTCTCTGGAGACATTCAAAACCCGCCTGGACACGTTCCTGTGCAACCTGCTCTGGGTGGACCTGCTTTGGCAGGGGGTTGGACTGATGATCTCCAAAGGTCCCTTCCAACCCTATAGCATTCTGTGATACTGTGATTCCGCCTGAAAAAGAGGAATAGCCATCTGCTGAGCCAGAGGTGCTATCACAGCATTAAAAACTTCACTGGGACGGAATTAAAAAAAAATAAATACCAAGTACACTTAATTGCTATGCAGCTCCTGCACAGTTCTGGGATGATGGCCAGAGCTGGAGACATGCTGAAGGAGGGAAGGCTGCCGGCCCAGCCCTCGGGCCCTGGGTTTGCTAATGCTGAAGGTGACATTAAGGAAGACAGGCACAGAGCACAGCTCCATTAGACGCACCTCTGACCGCACACGGACACCGAGGCAACGGATTCACAAACACACCCGTGCAACTAATGCATCCCTAACCCTCGCCTAAGGGACTGAACCTTTTAAAAATACGGCTGATTCAATCTGAAAGCTCCTTTGTAAATACTTCAGCCAGTTGAACAGAAAAAAAAAAAAAAAGTTAAAAAAGAAAGTACCATAAAAAAAGCTCATTGTAGAGAAACTACGGCGGCGCAGGCAAAAAAAGCATGAGAAAGAATGGTGATGTGGAGAAATTACCATCACTGAATAAAAGGAAACTACATTGTATTTACATCAGTTTTTTATTATCATGTTTTATTATCATTGAGGGTGATATTTCATTGTATCTCACATCCGCATTTAATGTGAACGTCACCTTCAAAACTGGTTGAGATCCAAAACGAGCATAAAGAAAGCATGCAGATTTCAGTGTTAAATTAAACTGCCACCTAGAACACTATTTTTCCTTCCTCTCACTTGCACCCAGGACTGGCAGACCCTCAGTCTTCCTCATGTCTGAAATGCCAGTGTAAACTCTGCTTTTTGATTTCCCTCCACCTTCCCCCTCCTGCATCTTCCACCCCCTGAACCTTCCCAGCTTGTTTCATGGTGGAGATCAGCCTTTGGTGACAGGCCACTGTCGTAAGAGGTGGCAGAGGAAGGGACTAGGACAGGAAAGTTGCTTCAACTAAGACCAGATTCAATAGTAGCATCTCCAGTGGCATTTGTGATATAACAGAGCTCAGACAACCACAGCGGAGGAAACAGAGGAACTGTCTGTCAGATAAAAAGATGGATTTGAAAAAGATAAGAACAAATACTGCCCACAAAGAAAGCAGCAAAGAAAATCTGCAGATAGACATTAGGAAGTAAGGGTATATTTTAGTTTCTGATGTTTTTAAAGCACTCTGTTCACTACTATAATTTTAAATTTATTTTTTTTTCATAAATTGGGGAAGCATAGGGATGAAGGAGCACTTTCCCTGTGACTATCCACCGCTGACACGGTGCTCAGATATACTGGGACATTCCAGTCATACACACCAACCTCTAAACAACACGGAGACCGCAAGAAAGGAGACTGACAAAGGCAGGGAGCGTCTCTCCTTTCTGGCAACCTATGGATTTGAAATTATTTTTTCCCCTCTCTGTCCCCCATACTTACTTTAACGTTCATCAAATGTATATTATGCATAAAAGCTAATTTCACCACAGAGGCCTGCTTCAGCATGCTTTTGATATTAGCCGAGGTTCAGTTATAAATAGTGAGCTGATATTTTTTCCAGAGGAAAACTAAAATCTTGAACCTTGCTCCCTTCAAGCATTAACTAGTTTTAAATCAGAATGCTACTATGAGCCAAATTCACAAAGCACTCTCAAAAAAATTAGTGCTTTTCTCTCAGAACCCTCAGAAAATCATATACAATGTAATATGGAGAGTAAGAACTGCAAGAGAAGAAAAACATACACAGCCTTCTGAATAGAACATATTTTGTCACAGGAATAATAATTAAAAATACATTTTAAACATCGCTCCAGTATACTTGGCCCTCTTTTTGATGATCTGCAAATGTTATTTCAGAAGCAGTTTAAATGTTGATTTAAATATCATGATAGAAAGCAAAGATCTTAATTCCCTTGCAGCCTTCTTGTTTTCATTTTGCGCAATTTGTGATAGGACTTTTTTCACATTTTAAAAAAATAGCTCCTTTGGTAAAGTTCATATTTAAGTTGGATTCTGACACTCCTAAGAATAGTAAGGACACATTTTGACAGTGTTACTCATACAAATACTGGTCTAATATCATTAAAGACAACAATGACATAAAAATAGGATCTAGCCCAAACCAAATTTTAAATACATGTGTTTGTGTGCATATGTACATGTGCATAAACAAAAAATCCACCCACAGAGAACTGTTAGAGTTCATAAACTCACATCCGTAACTTGCCTTTTCACATACCAATAGTAGATGTGTTTAGTTTTATTAAGATGACCTGAAATTCATACTGCGAGGTAAATCCTGACCTCTCAGAAACTGCGACTGCACCATTAATCTGCCACCCAAAATAAAAACAGGTTTCTGCAGCCTACTCTCAGTAATGTATAAATCTGTATACAAAACTGCTATTTCCGACAAACACTTCAGCGTTGAAGACTTGGTGCTTTTCAGCAGGAAATTCTTCCTCTAGAATTCTTTTAAATTGCATTTGTTATAAAATTATGCCTCTAAACCAGCCCCTTTCCCTCACTTTCCAGCAGCATAGTGTCTCTGCTGTCTGTAAGCAGCCAGGATGAGGAATGTCTGTATCCTTCTCAGCAGAAGCTGGAAAACCATTCAGTGGCAAGACAAAATAATTAATTCCCGGAGTGCCAGGAACCTTCCAGCATCACTAACCAGATATAATTTAAATTAAGACTGTAATATACAAAATACTTAACCAATATTTTCTGAAGAAGCTTCTTTGGTTTTGCCTACCTTTTGATTAACTCATGTCAGTGCACAGAAAGAAATTGCCACTGTTTAAAATGTGTTTACACGTGAAAAAACCCTGAAAATTGAGTGGCTCCCACTGCAACCTGAACGGTTCATCTTTATAGCAGAAATACTTGTAGCAATTGAGCACAAACTCTTACACCAAACCGCACAACATTATTAGGAGATGAAGTTGGAGATGAAGAAGGAGATGAATACTAATGAAGTATTTCTATTTACTATAGTATTTATTCTCTTTTCACTTCAGAGCAGAAGAGCAAAGCAACTCCTATTTTAAAACAGCTGTGCCAAAAGGCTACTGCAAAAACTCATTACTGAAAGCCACATTCCAGATTTCACTTTAAGCTTACTGTTGTTCTATCCTTCCTCGTAGACTGAAGTTCACAGCGTGCTCCTGCCTCATGATGCTTCTCGGTTCCCAAAAGACTGGAAACACATCTGGAGAAGCTTCGTTCCCAAATACCCACCTCGTTCATTTTCTGAGACTAGCTGTAGTGCAATTGCTCTATCTCCAGTACTTTACACTTGGTTAATAAAATGCTAACAGCTACCAGTTTTCAGCAAATCCATCTTTTAATACCCAGGGAGGCTCTGCATGAGTAAAGTAACTTGCCTTTATGGTAAACCGAAAGATGGCAAATGAAATTATAACACTAAAACGTTAGTTACGCTGCCATAGCTACTAAGTAGTAACAATGGGAATATCACAGCCTACAATGGTACTTGAGAAAATAACAAAAGAACTTAAAATACAGTACTACAGATTAACTCAATACCTAGAAACAGTGAAACCTCCATTGAAAAACAGTATTTCACTGGCACCAGGTCTTGAAGAAACACAGGGTAAGATATAGTCATTACTTACTGGTTTAGTGTCACATCTAGGATGAAAGATGATCCAAAAGCATCAACCTGGAAGCTGGCTCGAGCAATGTGGGTAGACTGCAACATTGAAAACACTGGAATTAGTATTCAGCCACAATAAAACATACTATACAGGTTTGTGAAATCAGAAAGTAAATATATTTACTAAGTAACAACATGCCGCTAACCAAATAACGTTGCACGGAAACGGACCGATAATGAAGAAAAGATCTAGTTTCTGCATCTACGAGGCCTATTCAAGAATTCCCACCAACAGAACCTGTCCCTGGGAGGCTCTGCCATGGTAACGGCATGGAAACGGCTCTTCTCTTCGAACCTCCATCCTGGACAAAACCCTGAGCAAAGGTGTCCCGGTTTGAAGTAAAACAGAACCAACTTTCTCTTCTGTAATTTTACATCTGAGCTCGGCCTCTTCTAACTCTCTGAAATTAACGGTGTATTGTGGAGAAAACTGTTCATTCTCAGAATGATACGACCAATGTTTGTGCTCCATGCCAAGGAACGGTGTGCAGAGAGGCTCTTGCTTATCCTTATTGCTGTAACAACCAAGGGCAGCCAATTTCGTTATTTGCCCCATTTAGAGGGTCAGAAACGGAAAAGCGCAGAGGGGTCCCACCTGTGGGGAGGAGGGGACAGGAGAGGGGACCCAAACCTGACCCACAGGGTGTTCCATCCCATCTGCCCCATGCTCAGTATAAAGCTGAGGGATCCAAGGGTCAATGCTCTTCCTTCAATGGCCGATGTCTGAAGAGGATTCTGTTCATCTGCCTTTGATCCTGATCCATGTGTTCCTGACTCCAGAGCTGGAACCCAGTTCCCATCCATCGCTGAGTCCAGTCCAGACTGGGACTTCCCCAGTGCTTGCTGGTGATGATTGTCATCCTGGGAGCTTGATATGGTTTTGTATATATTGTATCTATTTCATTATTTTCCTCTTTTTGATTTTAATATTAATTCTTCATTTAAGTAGTTTAGGTCATTCTAAACTTCTAAATCTCCTTATCTCTTCCTCTCCCCTCTTTTTTTTTGGGGGGGGAGAGGGGGAAAGGGCCATCTGTCAGTCTGGTTTTGGTAAATTTGGCCAAAACCATGACAAAAGGGAAGTGGAAGACTTTCCATGGATAACGTGTCACTCGTTCCTTAACCTGACTCTGCAGACAGACCTGGGGAGAGGAGCTGAGCCATTACTGGCTTGGTCAGCCCGGGATGCACTCACAAAGCTCACCATCATTAACTGAAAGAAACTGTTTGTTCAGAGAGACTCTCACTGAAGCCCGTATACCAAGGTGACAGCAATGGGCTAAAAAAAATAATCTTATTAGTTGCATTTTCTGTAAAGCTCTGACTCCCCACCCTGTAACCCGTCTCCTCCAAAAGGCTTCCAAAACTCCAAGCCCCTGAGCAAAGAAACCAAAGAAAAATGGGTAGTAAAGAAACTTTCTTTCTTTGCCATATATTCCCTCTGAATTAATTGCTTTCATTCCACCATATAGAGAAGAAACATGGCAATACTTTGTAACTCACGGTGTGCCAGAAATAGAACATTTTTTCTAGTAGCTGTGGAAGAAAATACCCAGCTATCTCATGGAAACGCAACAGTTGTTTCTAGACCTGAAAACTCTCAAGAAACGGAACAGTCATGTTATTTAGCTAATTAATACAAAAAGCTACTTTCAGACATTTTGGAGCCGTTTCAGCTTTGTTCTTATTTTCTTTCCATTGAAATCTGCACATTAAGATTGGAAGCATGTAGACAGAGGAAGCTAAGAACAAACACTGAAGAACCACTTACAACTCTAAACTACGCTTCTCTAAATAAATACAATACAGGATAGTACAACTGCAGCAAATGATTTATTGAAAACTCTGGGAAACACAAGACAGGATGGGATAATTTGAATCATCAAATTCACTCTCTCTAAAACTACTAGCAGGCTTTCAATAGGTATTAAATACAGAAGCGCTGAGAATACCAGTTTCGCTGGAAAAGAACAGCAACAAAGAAACGGGAAGCTGAGGGAATCATGACTTTTTTTTTATTACATTTTTGAGTTGCCCTATCACAGAATGTGTTTTTTATGTCTATATATAAGCATGAGTATTAATAAAAAATAATAAAAAACCCCTACAACCATGAATAAATAGTTACAAAGAGTTGATTCCTTTTAAAAAAAAAAAGTCAAGACAGCTTCAAGAGATCCATTAAAGGATGCTCAGGCTTAGCACCCTCTATAAAAATGCCTGGCTGTGCCACTGCAGTGAATGTGCATGCAAAATTGCATGACGAGAAATTACAGATATTTAAATTACTGTTTAGAAGGATGTAGCATTAACTGGAAGCTTCTCAGAAGCCCCCTCAATACACTTAATTCACAGAGTCAGCTATAATGGGGATAACTGAAAGGATATCTAACCCACTTCGTAACACAGGCCACAGGTCTGCACTCTGTGGTTCTTGTCATTTCTGGACGATTAAAGAGCATCTCTTTCGAACAAATGTACAGTCTTTGACCAACCAACTAATTGAATATAACACACAGTTTACTTTATCTGGGTAAATAATTTCAGTGCTGAATTACCATCAATACTAAAATTCTACTTTCTGTCCAAAAAAGCCTCAAAAAAAAAAAAACCAAAAAAAGGCAGTAATTTCCTCACATCACCCATTCTGATCCCTTTTTGAAGTTAAGGGATTTTAGCTTGCCCCAAATGACCAGTGACACAGCCGGTTGGTACCTACAAGGTAACACTGGGCACCCACAGCATGTCCAGCCGAACCACAGCACCTATGGCTCCCCACATGAAGGACCACCATCTACCTGCTTCTGACCCGCAGCAGCCAGCTGGCCACCAACACAGCAAAACCAACCACCAACAAATTACATTAGCATTTGCTGTTCCAACTTTCAGGCAGCAGAGTTGACTATGAATTATTTTAAAATTCTACCTCCTCTTCTAGATGGGAATTTTTAGGCTGCGGTTCATAAAGGGATGCAACAGGCCAAGAACCAAGTAGAAGGGCCCAACATTAGTTTTGTCATTCCCTCGTTCCACTGCAGCACATTTACTAACCTTAACTAACCTTCATTTATTTACCTCTCTGCACTGCAACCACCGAAGGAGTGGCAGCAGAGCCCAGTTGTTCACTTTTCATCATTACAGAATCACAGAATCTTCATAGTTGGAAGTGACGTTTGAGATAATTGAGTCCAACTACAAAAAAAAAAAAAAAACAAAAAAAAACCCTCAAACCCCACATACAGACTCAACCCCACAATCTCAGCCACTGGAGCATGCCCTGAAGTGCCACCTCTACACCTTTCTGAAATCCCTCCAGGGATGGTGACTCCACCACCTCCCTGGGCAGGCCATTCCAGGGCCTGACCACCCTCTCAGGAAAGTCATTCTTCCTAATATCTCATCTAAACCTCCCCTGCCCCAACTTCAGACCATTTCCTCTGCTCCTGTCTTTATTCCCTTGGGAGAAGAGGCCAATCCCCACCTCTCTACACCCTCCTTTCAGGGAGTTGGAGAGGGCAAGGAGGTCTCCCCTCAGCCTCCTCTCCTCCAAACTAAACATGCCCAGTTCCCTCAGCATCTCCTCATAGGACTTGTTCTCCAGACCCCTGCCCAGCTTGGTGGCTCTCCTCTGGACACGCTCCAGCCCCGCAATGTCTTTTTTGTGGCGAGGGGCCCAGAACTGGACCCAGCCCTCGAGGTGGGGCCTCACCAGTGCCCAGTCCAGAGGCACCATCACTGCCCTGCTCCTGCTGGCCACGCTGTTCCTGACACAGGCCAGGATGCTGTCGGCCTTCTTGGCCACCTGGGCACACTGCTGGCTCCTGTTCAGCCCACAGTCCACCAACACCCCCAGGTCCTTTTCTGCCGGGCAGCTCCAGCCACTCTGCCCCCAGCCTGTAGCGCAGCAGGGGGTTGGTGTCACCCAAGGGCAGGACCCAGCACTCAGTCTTCTTGAAACTCATCCCACTGGCCTCGGCGCATCCAGCCAGCTTGTCCGGATAACTCTGTGGAGCCATGCGACACTCCAGCAGGTCAACACTCCCACCCAGCTTGGTGTCATCTGCAAACTTACTGAGGATGCATTTATTTTCTTTAGCATGTTTGGAGCCCACTGTTCCAAGTATTGTCTTCCTCTGACATTTGTTCTGTTTCATGTAAAGTCAATATCTCCTTGTTTTATCCAAATATCTCTCCCTTAATTGCTCTGTGCTACTACGCAGGCTGACAGTGTCACCTCACAGCCGTCCCCGTTACGTTATTAAATGCAAGGAACATTCTACAGCACTTATTATTTCTGTTTGCTAACAACATAGCTACATCTGCCATCACTTAGCTCTGCGGACAAAGTATAACCAGGTCTTCAATATGACCATATGTTGGTACCAGAAAGAGAATTCATCAGTAAGGAAGAATATAAAAAGCCTAATTTAAATTTTTAAACGTACAGATGCCGAATGTAGCCTTTGTCATTAAAATGTATTCACCTCATTCACTGTAAGAGCAAAGATGGCTAGGTTTGGGGTTGTTTTTAACTGCTAGGCGTACTGCATCCTATTGATTTGGTCTGGGAAATTTCCTCCCTTGAACATGTCTCTAAGATAAACAATTACAAGGCTAATGTATTTCTGAGGTGACCCTGCACCACAGTTATTCCCTGACAGAAGGTGTTAATGTGGATTTAAGGGAGAAAACACCTATTAATAAATTAAGATGAAAAACATTACACAGATGTATCCACCCCCAAGAGAAGTGGTGCCAACCCAGGCAGCTCACCATTAAGTTTAAGCTCAAGTGCAATCAAGCCCACTGAGACACCCAGATGCCCGTTTTGGATAGCCAGCCAAACTCAGCCTTTTCCAGAAATCACAGCCCTTCCTCCAACCCTGATCTGTGGTTGTACAACACTGCAGTGCTGCACATTGTGGGCTGCTGCCAAAATCAAATTGTTCTGCCCCATCCTGGCCATGCGTTCCCACCTACTCTGCCTTGTTGGCTTGTGTGACCACCCAGGAAGTCAGACCAGCATCAGAAAATTCATCATTCCTTGGAATGGATCTGTTTTCTGCCGGACAAATAAGCTGATCCACATAAACTTGTATAGTCACACCATGAGTAGATGCGATGGAAAGAAGCTGGAGGGGACATGCAAGAGAGAATGAAGAGGAAGACAGATCCCCCCCTTTCAATGACAGCTAACAGATCTCACTCAGCGCAATGAAAAAGTGCATTTTAAGAGTGCCAGCCAGCACATTTTTTAGGATAACAAAGAGGATAACTCTTCTGAGTATCTGGCTAAAAACC